CCATTCCGCCCCCCCCATCTGTGCCAAACACGTTACAAATCTTGCTTCCAGGAACATCCCTGAGTCACAAAGAAGTCCTCCCTTCCCCTTCTTCCCTCCCCTCCCCCCTTCGAGATTAAATATATTGAATATTGAAAACAAATACTTATATAGAAATGTAATGGAAGTTTCACCAACATCGGCTGGGAGGGCAGAGAAGGGGGAAAGAGAGAGGATTGAAGAGGCTGCAGAAGTAGGCGAGGCAAAATCATAATAATTTTTTTTTAAAAAATCACAAAACACCAAGAAGTTTAGAGGAAGCAGAGAAGCTAAATGTTTGTCTTCCCCATCTATCTGCCTCCCTCCCTCCCTCCTTCCTCTGCTTTGCAGGAAGGTGGAAAGAAGAAAGAAGAAATCCAGGGTCCTAAGGAGAGCTTTCCAAGGGGCAATATTTTGGAAAGGGGTGCCTTTACCTGCCGCTGATTCTCCCCCTGCCAAGTGTGGTGGTGGCTGCTAGTAGTGGAAGATAAAACTGACACAACAGGAGTTGCTGCGTTTGAATGAGAAAGAAGAGAGGAAGGAGGGATTCGGGAGGAGGGAGGGAAAGAGGGAGGCGGCTATTGGGAGTTTTTGAGGCTGGTTGGTGACACACGCGCGCGCGCACACACACGCACACACAGAGGAGGGATACATACACACCTGATCCTTTTGGTTTCATTCTCCAGATGCCATGGGGGGGCGAGGAAGAGGGGGTTAGGAGGAGAGGGGAAAGGAAGGCATTGCCCAAGACAATGCAGGGAATCCGTGTTGCTCTAAGATGCAGTGATCATGATCCAGCTGGACAGCATCTCTGCCAAATTAGAAAGCCTTTTGTACACACCCCTGCTCCCCCCCCTTTTTGGGGGGAGGGTGGAATCGGAACAATTGTTTTCTTGCATTTGTTTTACATAAGTGGAAGGATCCTGTAGGTGTAAACGGTCTGCGAAGCAGTTTGTCGAGGCGGTGAACAAAAGTAATTTTGCGAATTACACAGGAGCATAAAGCACATTGATCCCGAGGCCACCTTCCCTGCGTCTCCTCAGGGGTCCTTCCCCAAAGCCCCCCACAAAGTTTCAAGATGGATCAAGACCACCGTGTGTGTGTGTGTCCTCATTCTCTCTTTACACTGTAAACGCCTTGGGGGCAGGGACCTGTATTTTATATGTATATTATACACATGTACATATGTATGTATTTTATTTATCTTGGCACGGCGTTCAGGGCCTTTTAAGCCGCCCTGGAAAGAGCGCGGGCGGTTAACAACCCAACTGCCCCCCCCAGGCGCTCCTCGGGAGCAAGCCCCGCCGCCCGGCACAGTACTTACACCCACCCCGGGATGCATCCCGCGTGGAGCCCTTCCTCTTCGGCAGCTCCACCCGCTCCTGCGAAGGGGGGTTATGACTCCCCGCGCGCCCCGTCCTGGAGGGCACCCCCGCCGGACTGCTCAGGCTTCTGCGTCCCCGTCCTTTGTTGTATAAGGGGGAAGGGCAGGACCTCCAGAAAGTCACCCCGCAAGGGGGGAGGCAAGGAAAGGGTCCCCCCGTCGCTTCTCCCCATAGCCCCCCTTTCAGGCTGGGGAAGGGTCTCCCCCTTGTCCCCCTCCCTCTATAGGGCTGCGGGCGCCGAGGGACCCT